AAAGTCCATCAGGCTAACATCACACTTCTCAGCACAAACCTTACAGGCCAGAAGGGAATGGCATGATGTATTTAATGCCATGAAGCAGAAGGGCCTGTAACCAAGATTACTTTATCTGGCAAGATTATCATTTAAATTTGAAGGAGGGATTAAACAATTTACAGATAAGCAAAAGCTGAGAGAATTTACCTCCAACAAACCATCTCTACAGTCTATTTTGGAGGGACTGCTATAGATGGAAGTGTTCCTAAGGTTTAATAGCTGTCACCAGAGGAAATAAAACCACAGTAAAGAAAGCAGAACAGCTAATTACTAAGCAAATGCAAAATTAAATAAACTGTCCCCAAAGTCAATCAAGGGATAGACAAAGAGTACACAATATGATAACTAATAGATAAAGAATGGAGGAGGAAGAAAAAGGAGGAGAAGAAGAAAAGAACCCTTATATTGTGCTTGTAATAGCATATTAAGTGAGTTAAGTTAGACTCTTAGATAGTAAGGAAGTTAACCCTGAACCTTTGGTAACCATGAACCTAAAGCCTGCAATGGCAATAAGTACACACCTATCAATAATTACCCTAAGTGTAAATGAACTGAATGCACCAATAAAAAGACATAAAGTCACTGAATGGATAAAAAAAACAAGACCCATCTATATGCTGCCTACAAGGGACTCACTTTAAACCCAAAGACATACACAGACTAAAAGTGAAAGGATGGAAAAAGGTATTTCATGCAACTAATAGAGAGAAAAAAGCAGGTGTGCAGTACTTGTATCAGACAAAGTAGACATCAAAACAAAGAAAGTCACAAGAGACAAAGAAGGACATTACATAATGATAAAGGGGTCCATCCAACAAGAAGATATAACCATTATACATATCTATGCTCCCAACACAGGAGCACGTACATACGTGAAACAAATACTAACTGAATTGAAAGGGGAAATAGAATGCAATGCATTCATTCTAGGAGACTTCAACACTCTACTCACTCTGAAGGACATATCAAGCAGACAGAAAATAAGTAAGGAGAGGTACTGAACAACACATTAGAACAGATGGACCTAACAGTTATCTACAGAACTCTACACCTAAGAGCAGCAGAATACACATTCTTCGCAAGTGCACATGGAACATTTTCAAGAATAGATCATATACTAGGCCACAAAAAGAACCTCACTAAATTAAAAACGATTGAAATTGTACCAACCAGTTTCTCAGACCATAAAGGTATGAAACTAGAAATAAATTACAAAAAGAAAATGAAAAATCCCACAAACACATGGAGGCTTCACAACATGCTCCTAAATAACCAATGGATCAATGACAAAATAAAAGCAGAGATCAAGCAACGTATGCAGACAAATGACAACAATAATTCAACACCACAAAACTATGGGACACAGCCAAGGCTGTGTTAAGAGGAAAGTATATTGCAATACAGGCCTACCTCAGGAAAGAAGAACAATCCCATATAAGCAGTCTAAACTCACAATTAATGAAATGAGAAAAAGAACAAATGAGGCCCAAAGTCAATAGAAGGAGAGAAATAATAAAGATTAGAGCAGAAATAAATAAAATTGAAAAGAATAAAACAATAGAAGGAATCAATGAAAGCAAGAGCTGCTTCTTCAAGAAAATAAACAAAATATATAAACCCCTAGCCAGACTTACCAAGAAAAAAAGAGAGTCTACACACATAAATAAAATCAGAATGAGAAAAGAAAAATCACTATAGACATCACAGAAACACAAAGAAGTATTAGAGAATACTATGAAAAATTATATGCTAACAAACTGAAAAACCTAGAAGAAATAGACAACTTTCTAGAAAAATACAACCTTCCAAGGCTGACCAAGGAAGAAACAGAAAATCTGAATGGACCAATTACCTGCAATGAAATTCAATTGGTAATCAAAAAACTACCTAAGAGCAAAACGCCTGGACCAGACGGTTTCACCGCTGAATTTTATCAAACATTTAGTGAAGATCTAATACCCATCCTCCTTAAAGTTTTCCAAAGAGTGGAAGAGGAGGGAATACATCCAAACTCATTTTATGAAGCCAGCATCACTCTAATACCAAAACCAGGCAAAGACACCAAAAAAAGAAAATTACAGACCAATATCCCTGATGAACATAGATGCAAAAATACTCAACAAAATATTAGCAAACAGAATTCAAAAATACATCAAAAAGATCATCCATCGTGATCAAGTAGGATTTATTTCATGGATGCAAGAATGCTACAACATTCCAAAATCCATCAACATCATCCACCACATCAACAAAAAGGACAAAAACTACATGATCATCTCCATAGATGCTGAAAAAGCATTTGACAATATTCAACATCCAGTTATGATAAAAACTCTCAACAAAATGGGTATAGAGGGCAAGTGCCTCAACATAGTAAAGGCCATATGTGACAAACCCACAGCCAACATCATACTTAACAGCGAGAAGCTGAAAGCTTTTCCTTTAGATCAGGAACAAGATAAGGATGCCCACTCTCCCCACTTTTATTCAACATAGTTCTGGAGGTCCTAGACATGGCAAACAGACAGCACAAAGAAATAAAAGGCATCCAGATTGGCAAGGAAGAACTTGAAGTGTCCCTGTTTGCAAATGACATGATATTGTACAAAAAACCCTAAGGAGTCCACTCCAAAACTACTAGATCTAATATCTGAATTCAGCAAAGTCGTAGGAAACAAAATTAATGCGCAGAAATCTGTTGCATTCCTATACACTAATGATAAACTAGCAGAATGAGAAATAGGAAACAAATTCCATTCCCAATTGCATCAAAAAAAAATACCTAGGAATAAAACTAATGAAGGAAGTGAAAGACGTATACTCTGAAAACTACAATACATTCACGAGAGAAATTAAAGAAGATACCAATAAGTTGAAACACATCCCGTGCTCATGGATAGGAAGAATTAATACTGTCCAAATGGCCATCCTGCCTAAAGCAATCTACAGATTCAATGCAATCCCTATCAAAATACCAACAGCATTATTCAATGAACTAGAGCAAATAGTTCTAAAATTCTTATGGAACCACAAAAGACCTCGAATAGTCAAAGCAATCTTGAGAAGGTAGAATAAAGCTGGGGGCATTATGCTCCCCAACATCAAGCTCTACTACAAAGCCACAGTAATCAAGAAAATTTGGTACTGATGCAAGAACAGACTCATAGACCAATGGAAAAGACTAGAGAACCCTGATATAAACCCAAGCATATATGTTCAATTAATACACAATAACAGAGCCATGGATATACAATGGGGAAATGACAGCCTCTTCAACAGCTGGTGTTGGCAAAACTGGACAGCTACATGCAAGAAAATGAAACTGGATTATTGTGTAACCCCATACACAAAAGTAAACTCGAAATGGGTCAAAGACCTGAATGTAAGTCATGAAACCATAAAACTCTTAGAAGACAACATAGGCAAACATCTCCTGAATATAAGCATGAGCAACTTATTCCTGAACGCATCTCTTCAAGCAAGGGAAACAAAAGCAAAAATGAACTCATGGGACTACATCAAACTAAAAAATTTCTGTACGGCAAAGGATGTCATAAACAGAACAAACAGGCATCCTACAGTATGGGAGAATATATTTGTAAATGACGTATCTGACAAGGGGTTAACATCCAAAATACATAAAGAACTGACAAGCCTCAACACCCAAAAAGCAAATAACCCAATTAAGAAATGGGCAGAGGATATGAAGAGACCATTCTCCAAAGAAAAAATTCAGATGGCCAACAGACACATGAAAAGATGCTCCACATCACTAATTATCAGGGAAATGCAAATTAAAACCACAGTGAGATATCACCTCACACCAGTAAGGATGGCCAGCATCGAAAAGACTAAGAACAACAAATGCTGGCGAGGATGAGTAGATAGGGGAACCCTCCTACACTGCTGGTGGGAATGTAAGCTAATTGAACCATTGTGGAAAGCAATATGGAGGTTCCTCAAAAAACTAAAAATAGAAATACCATTTGACCAGGGAATCCCACTCCTTGGAATTTACCCAAAGAATACAACTTCTCAGATTCAAAAAGACATATGCACCCCTATGTTTATCACAGCACTTTTTACTACAGCCAAGATATGGAAGCAACCTAAGTGTCCATCAGTAGATGAATGGATAAAGAAGATGTGGTACATGTACACAATAGAATACTATTCAGCCACAAGAAGGAAACAAATCCTACCATTTGCAACAACATGGATGGAGCTGGAGGACATTATGCTCAGTGAAATAAGCCAGGCAGAGAAAGACAAATGCGAAATGATTTCCCTCATTTGTGGAGTATAACAGCGAAGCAAAATTGAAGGAACAAAATAGCAGCAGACTCAGAGACTCCAAGAATGAACTACTGGTTACCAAAGGGGAGGGGTGTGGGAGGGTGGGTGGGGAGGGAGAAGGGGATTTAGGGGTATTATGTTTAGTATACATGGTATAGGGGATCACAGGGAGAACAGTGTAACACAGAGAAAGGACATAGTGGATCTGTGGCATCTTACTACTCTGACGGACAGTGACTACATTGGGGTATGGGTGGGGACTTGATAGTATGGGTAAATGTTGTAACCACACTGTTTTTTCATGTGAAACCTTCATAAGAGTGTATACCAATCATACCTTAATAAAAATAAATAAATAAAATTTTTAATGGTAAATTTTGTTATGTTTATTTTACCACAATTTTAAAAAGGGTAATGGGAGATGGTATATGCATACTATAGAATACTATGCAGTGTGTTTTATGTTGGAACCACTGATCTACCTCATTCTCTTAGGCATATTGCTGAATAAAAAAGCCAGCTGGAATCTTACTACACTGATGGACAGTGACTAATGGGGTATGTGGGGGGACTTGGTGAAGGGGGGAGTCTAGTAAACATAATGCTCCTCATGTAATTGTAGATTAATGATACCGAAAAAAAAAGCAAGCTGGAGAACAATATAGAGTATGATATCATTTATATAGGGAAAAATGAAAACAGACATATAACAAAATATATTTTATACACAAACAAAAAGAAAAATATATTTCTATTTTTAAATACACAGAATATGATCTGGAAGAATAAATGCCAACCTGATAACATTGGTTTCCTCTGGGACAGGGACCTGCATCAGGGGATTGAAAAGGAGAACTATTTGACTGAAATAACAGAACCATATTAATATATTACTTGAGGAACTAAAATGCTTTTTATAAAAAATTAAAAGAATAGGCCAATTATATGGGTAAATGTAGTAACCACATTGTTTTTTCATGTGAAACCTTCGTAAGAGTGTGTATCAATAATACCTTAATTTTAAAAAGTAGGAAAAAATAATTTTTAAAATAAGAACAGGGATAAAAAACAACCTGCAGGTGATATTACTGTCCACATAAAAGACCCAAAAAAACCCTGCAAATTTTAAATATAAGACTTTAGTAAAATAGCCAGACATAAAAGCAGTATTCAAAAATGTAACTTTTGTGCTACACCATAAAATTGGAATGTTACAATGAATAGTATGACCCCTGAACAAAGATACACAAATTTGTGAACTGTACCTTGTTTTTATTTTTGCAACACTTCTGTACATCTAAAATTATCTTGAAATAAAAAATTGAAAAAATAGAATGGGCCAATTACAGAAAAAAGAGAGTATGGTAGGTAAAGAAGGCACAGGTGCTATGGGAACACAGTGGCATACCAGAAAGCACAGGTACTAGGAAATACAGAGGGATACCTAATCCTGGCCTGGGAAACACAAGAAAGGCTTCCCAGAGGAAGTAGAAAGGAAATCCTGAAATGAATCTTGAAAGATGAGTAGAAATTAGCCAAGAAAAATATGAGTGGGAACAAAAAGATGGAGAGGGTATCAGAGGCAGAAGGAATTGTTATGTGTGAAAGCATGGAGGTATATGAAAGAACAAAGCTTTCTCTGGGAACTGGAAATAGTTCACCAGGCTTGAAGCACAGAATTTATGTAGATGAGTACAGGATTTGGCTTGTACCCTAAAAACAATAGGGAATGTTTATAGCTTACAGGAGTCACCTGTAAGTTTCAGAAAGATCACTCTAGCTGCTGTACAGAAAATGGATTGGACAGTAGGTAGAAACAAAAAGAGGCCACTCTGAAAGCTACTTTAGGAATCCACAAGAAAAATGACAGGAGGGGTTGGGAGTTGATGAAAGGGGAAGTCAAGGAACAACAGACGGTTGTGTAATATTGGATATTTTAAGTTTGAGAAGGATTTCCAAGTGGATGTGTTCCACAGAGAGTTGGATTATACAGGTCTGGAACTTGGAAGAGAGAATTATTAGAACCACACATTTGGGAATCAGGTCAACTGAAACCATAAGAATTCAGTCTCTTCCATGTCATGAACTTCATCCTCTCAACTGGCTTCTTTCCATCAACAGTTTAGTAGACTTAAATCTCTCTCAACTTTAAGGGGGGAAAAACACCCTTTCTCAGCTCCATCCTGCCATTCTGTACTTGTGAGCTCCAGCGCTGTAAGATAATAAAGTTGTGTTATCTTATGCCACTAAGTTTGTGGTAATCTGTTAAAGCAGCAATAGGAAACTAATAAACCCACTTCAAAAGGAAAAAATGGAGGAACCTAAGGAAAAGATGGTTGGCCCCAAGAAAACTCTTAGGAGTCCCCATCATGACAAGGAAGGCTCAAGGAATGTCTTCTCCAGAGGAAGTCTTAGAGAGACCACTCAGTGAATTTTCTGCTCTCTTCCCTTAAGGGCTGTTTGTGTGGATGGGTTAGGTGACTCCCGCTCCGCCCTTCAGAAGATATACCAGAACTAAGCCTCTTCCCTTCCCCTTGGTCAATGCGTTCAGGAATTTTTTAGGAAGATGTTAAGCTCATCTATAGGACAACTCTTCCCAGCATGAGGGTGGAGGCCAGGAAAGAGCCACTGTCATGTAGGAAGTTCTCACTAATTGGCAGATGAGAGCTGGTTATGGGAATGCTATGCTTTGATTGGGATCCTTCTTTATAGTAAATGCCCCCCCTCATTAGGTGTGTCCCATTGAATGGACCCAACTACTGAGGTCAGAAAACACGGACAAGAGCCTTGGAGATACAATCCTAAGGTCCCTCTATTCTCTACTGTGTTCCAAGACAGACAGTCCTTTGAAAACAAAGAACAGAAAACAGAGATCACTCACACCATCCACAAAAACAAATCCTAGCTGGATTAAAGATGAAGCAAACAAACAGAAGCCACTATACAAGTATAAGAAAACACAGAAGCATGTTTATGACCTTGACATATGAAAGACCTTAATAAACAAAACACAAAAAAAATCAAAAGCCAAAAAAGAAAATATTGATAAATCTGACCTTAAAATCTTCCATTTAAAAAAAGACACAACAAAGTTAAAAGGTAAGAGAGCCACTGGGAGAAAAATATTTGCAATACACATAACAAAGGACTAATATTTTTTCTTTAATTTTCCTAGATAAGAAAAGCAAAAATACATATAAAAACAGGTAAAGGATATGAGCAGGCACATCACAGAAAAAATACAAATGGCCAATAAACATATGAATGTTTATGAACATATGAATGAACACATGGATGTTCAACTTCCCTGTTATTCAGAGTACTAAAAATAAAACAATGAGATTCCATTTTCTACCTACCATACTGGCAAAATTTAAAGTTTGATAATATTCAGTGTTGGGAAGAGGGAGAAATGTGACCTCTTACACCCTGTGGAGGAAAGTATAAATTGGTACAGCCACAGTGGAGGGGCATTTGGGAGTATTACTAATATTAAAAATATGCAGTTTACATACAATGCCACTCCTAGGTATATGCCCTAGAGCAGATGTTCAGACTTCCTCAAAATGTGGTCCATAAATCCCTGGGAGTTCCCAAGACCCTTTCAGAGGGCCTATGAGATTCAAAACTATTTTCATAATATTATGAACATGTTGTTTGTTTTTACTGTGTTGACACTGGCACTGATGATGCAAAAAGAAAAATGGGAGGAAGAGAAAAAGCAAAGGCAGGTAAAACTGCTGGTGCCTTAGTGCTAATCAAAGCAGTGGCACCAAACTGCACTAGTAATCATTATATATTTTCAGCACCACACACTTAAGGATGTTCTTGATGAAGCAGAAAAAGTATTAAGTCTTCCTGCCTGAGTACATGGCTTTCTAGTATTCTGTGCAACAAAACAGGAGGCACATATAAAGCACTTCTGTTGCATACTGAAATACAATGGTTGCCCCAAAGACAAGCATTTGTGAGACTGAGTTGTGAGCTCAACTAGTTGCTTTGTTCATGGAACACCATTTTTCTTAACATAATGATTGACAGATAAACTATGACTATTCAGACATGGGTATGTGGCAGGCATTTTCTTGAAACTGGACAAAGTGAGCCTGTCACTTCAATGAACACAACTGCAATATCTGGTGCTAAATGATAACATTTGAGATTTCAAGCAAAAACTAGAATTTTGGAAAACTTGCACCTCCACCATAGACTTGACAACTTGCCACTACTTCAAGACTTTTCTGATGAAAGCAATGGTAATATTTGTGAATGTGATTTTTTGACACTGTATAATGAACTGTGTCAATATTTGAGAGATCTGCATAATTCAGTGAATCAATATTTCCCAAATTACCAGTACTTGATGTTATAAAACCATTCATAGGTAAAAGATTTACTGAAGTACAAGGTAGACCAATGGATTTTAATGTAACATAGTATGAAAAATTGATTGATATGGCTGATACGGTTTCAAAGTCCACATTAAAAGTAATCTTTATGAAACTACCACTTGTTGAGGATTGATGTAATATTAAATAATATCCACAATTCTCTGAAAAGGTATTAAAATACTGCTCATTTTTCTAATTACATATCTATGTGATATACTTCAACCAAAATATATCATAATAGATCAAATGTGAAAGTATTGGAGATCAGATATGAAAATCCAGATGTTTCCTATTGTCTATTAAACAGGTTTGCAAAAAATGTAATACATTAAAAATGTAATTATAAAAATGTAATAAAAATACATTAATATCTAATTTTAATGTTCTAATTATTTTGCTTTAGAAGTTACATTTCATTTATATTATTCACGTTAATATGAAATGAGCTTATTGCTTTTTTTCTTTTATTTCTTATTAAGGTATCATTGATATACACTCTTACAAAGGTTTCACAAGAAAAACATTGTGGTTACTACATTCACCCTTATTATCGAGTCCCCTCCCATACCTCATTGCAGTCACTGTCCATCAGTGTAGTAAGATGCCAGAGTCCCTACTTGTCTTCTCTGTGGAACACTGTCTTCCCTGTAACCCCCCACACACACTATGTGCACTAATAATGATACCCCACAATCCCCTTCTCCCTCCCTCCCCTTTGGTAACTGCTAGTCCCTTCTTGGAGTCTGTAAGTCTGCTGCTATTTTGTTCCTTCAGTTTTGCTTGGTTGTTATACTCCACAAATGAGGGAAATCATTTGGTATTTGTCTTTCTCTGCCTGACTTATTTCACTGTTATTGCTGTTATTTTTAATGAATAAATATTTTAAAAATCACTTTTAACTCCTAATATACTGAATAGTGACATATATAACCCCACAAAAACAAATTCTCTGCCTGGAGTGTAAAGGGGTCGTGAGATGAAAAAGTTTGAGATCCACTGCCCTAGAGAAACTCTGGCGAGGAGTCATATATTGAATGTTCATAACAGTACTGCTGGTATAAGCAAGAAGCTGGAAAAATCCACTAGTGTTATCAATAAGGAATGGTTAAATAAATCATTTTATAGCCATATTATGGCACATTATGCCATATTTCTTTAAAGATGAAGTAAATTTAGTAGAATCACTATGTTGCACACCTGAAACTAATATTGTATATCAACTATACTTCAATTTAAAAGAAAAAAGAAAAAGATCTAAAAATGAAATAAATCTAGATGTAGCAAAATAAAAATGTTTCCAAAATATTGAATGAAAAATCTGCAGGATGTGTACAGTCTATAGTATACTTTTTGTATAAATAAAAACAAAACAGAATATATTTTCGAGGGGAAATAAAGAGACCTGAAAGGCCACCAGGATACAGAGCAAACTGTTAACGCAGCTACCTTTGGGAAGGGGAAGACGACTAGTAGGATTGTGGGTAATGGCCAAAGTGTATTTTAGTTTTAGCCCTATCTATGCATAAATGTTTTGAGGGTTTTTGTTGTTGTTGTTGCCTTTTTTAACAAGGAGAATGTACTAGTGTAATAAAAAATAATTAAGACAAAAAATATAGCAACGCCATTAAGCCCACTGACACTGAGTAACAAAGGGGACTCGCTCTGAGTCCACGATGAGAGGGCCCTTGTATTTGCTGCAGTGGTTCTGGAGCTGAGGCGTCTAGTAAGGAGCCAGGAGGGATGAAATCGGGTGACGGAGGGGATGAGGGCTGGCTGGCTGAAATGGTGGTGGCCACCTGGACTGCGGTACTTTCTGGGTCAGGCACCTCCTGATCGGACTTAGGCTGCAGAGCTCGGCTTCTCCCGGTTCCGCCATCATAAACCTCGCCCTGATGCCCGCAAGCTCTTGCCCCATTCCCGGTCCCCGATCCCCACGACCTCAGCGGCGACATCGGAGGAAGAGTTCTGCACTGGCCGTGGTGGAACAGCACCTGTAGGCTAAGGCAAGGTCTCTCTAAGCACCAACAAGAGACTTCAGTCAGAGCCGCCGTCGCACACCTGGAGACACTCTGAGACTTCAGAAGCGTGACCGGGGGAACTCAAGGTCTAGAGCACCTAGGTTTGGGAGCGCGCAGTTTCCAAATGAGACAACCCGCTCTTTAGCGGCTGTGGAGCAGGTTTCGCTTTCGAAAGCAGCGCTACAGCATTCCCATTGGCCTTGCATTCCGGCCAATCAGCAGGTGCCCCCATGACCCACCCACCCATCTCCCGACGAAGAGGCCAGTCAGAAGAGAGTATGTGTTCCCCACCATTGCATTAGACCAATTGAAAGCTTGCTTATTTCTGACTGACGTGCGGATAGCCAACCAGAAAAGCCGAGGCCTGCCGATTCAGCCTCCTACTTCAGTCACCATCCCGACCTAGGTCCCCATCCCTGACTCGTCCCTACCTTGAATCTTAAGGTTTGGATCTGGGAGAAATCACCAAAAAGAGGTCCAAGCTGGAGGGTTGGTGACCAAAGAGGCAAAGTAACATTTACCCGAGTTCCCAAAGGAGATTGTGCTGCTCTAGGCTTGCCCTCACATAGTGCCAACTTGAGAAAAGCAATGGTCGGGAACGCGTCCGATAATACTTTGCCACCAGCTAATTGCTTCATTTTTCCCCAAAGTCAGGTAGGAAGAAGCCGAGGAATATCCACGGCATTTAAGATTTGGTTTATCTACACTGAGGAGTGGCAGGGATGCTCAACCAGCAATAAACACTGCTTTTAGAAGGACTAAAACGAAACGTGCAGGGAATTTTCCGATAGTGGCATCATTAC